ACAACCTATTAACAGTTTTAGCTTAAAAAATACTACTTAGCCTCTTATTAATAGCTACTAATGCAGTAGTTGGGTTTGGGTATTGGGATGTAAAATAAGATCATTCTCTATACGTGTTAATAAATGGTTCATATCTCGATAATAGGCAGGTGATAAGCCAGTAGCAAATGGTGTGAATTGTTATTTAAACTGAAACCTTACTTAACCTATTCTTTTACCTCGTCTTTCTCTCTCTGTCTCTGGTTTTCTAGGTTAAATCAGAGCCGGCTGAACGACAGCTCTGGGGAGTCTTTATAATCGAGAAGCAATTATTTAACTTTATTAACAAGAAAAGCTTTTTTATTGCCTCGTTTAATAGGTCAGACTGGCAGAGGAGGGAGTTCCAGTGTGTGTGCGGGGATCGTGCCCGGATTGATCACAGTTAAATATTTCATTAAGAACTATAACAGACGAACAGCGACAGTGGAACCCAGCACAGATTGACTGCATGCTGATCTGTGTATGTGTGTGTGTGTGTGTATGTCACCTAAATCATGTTTAAGCATACACACATTAGCTCAGCTACAAGGTGCTATGCAATGAAAGTCTGGATATACCTAGGCATAGCTGAATAATAAGAGCTCTGTACATAGAGATGGCATGCTGTGAGCCTCAAACACCACGTACAATGCTGTGAGTGTAAAATCCCAGTGAAAAACAGGCCAATTAAAACAAAACACTGACTCTGATGATCTACATGGGTCATTAATATGCATGCCCCAGGCTGCGTTTGATTGGCTACAATGTTTTCTAGTGAGATTACTCAAATTATATATATTTTTACTCCTTATTTTGAAGTTTATGATACTAAATATGAATGTGGAAGTCTTATTTTGAAAATGGGAGAGTCTCAAGGGAGCAGTTGTATGACACAGGCAGTGTTCACAGCTTATCAAGATGCAAAATGCAGGATATACAGATTCTACATGTATTCAGTTTAAGGTAAATGTTAGTTTGCTGTGTCTGTTTTGTCTCTTTTTGTTTGTTTTGTCTGTTTAATTTTGCTTTGTTTGTCACGTCTTGCTTTCTGTTTTATTTTGTGTCTTTTTGTTTGTTTTGTCTGTTTAATTTTGCTTTGTTCTCGTGTTTCTTTGTGTTTTAATCTGTGTCTGTTTGTTTGTTTTGTCTGTTTAATTTTGTTTTGTTCTTTTCTTGCTTTGTGTTTAATTACGTCTTTTTCTGTTTGTTTTGTCTGTTTAATTTAGCTGTTTTCTCGTCTTGCTTTGTGTTTATTTTGTGTCTTTTTGTTTGTTTGGTCTGTTTAATTTTGTTTTGTTCTTGTCTTGCTTTGTGTTTAATTTTGTCTCTTTTTGTTTGTTTTGTCTGTTTAATTTTGCTGTTTTCTCGTCTTGGTTTGTTTATTTTGTCTCTTTTTGTTTGTTTTGTCTGTTTAATTTTGCTGTTTTCTCGTCTTGGTTTGTTTATTTTGTCTCTTTTTGTTTGTTTTGTCTGTTTAATTTTGCTTTGTTCTCTCGTCTTGCTTTGTGTTTAATTTTGTCTCTTTTTGTTTGTTTTGTCTGTTTAATTTTGCTGTTTTCTCGTCTTGGTTTGTGTTTTATTTTGTCTCTTTTTGTTTGTTTTGTCTGTTTAATTTAGCTGTTTTTTCATCTTGGTTTGTGTTTTATTTTGTCTCTTTTTGTTTGTTTTGTCTGTTTAATTTAGCTGTTTTCTCGTCTTGGTTTGTTTATTTTGTCTCTTTTTGTTTGTTTTGTCTGTTTAATTTTGCTTTTTTCTTGTTTTGCTTTGTGTTTAATTTTGTCTCTTTGTTTGTTTTGTCTGTTTAATTTTGCTGTTTTCTCGTCTTGGTTTGTTTATTTTGTCTTTTCTTGTTTGTTTTGTCTGTTTAATTTTGTTTTGTTCTTGTCTTGCTTTGTGTTTATTTTGTCTCTTTTTGTTTGTTTTGTCTGCTTAATTTTGCTTTGTTCTCTCGTCTTGCTTTGTGTTTAATTCTGTGTCTTTTGTTAGTTTTGTCTGTTCATTTTTCACATCGTGTTTGATCTCTATCATTTCTGACGCGTGTTGTTTCAGCACACACACAGTCTCCTCTGTTGTATTTATTCATCGGTATTCTGCTGTATTTTCTTGAAAGGATTGACAGAGAGTTAAATAGCAGAAGACACTTAACAAATGAACTGGAAAAGACCCAAACCTCCTCCTTCTGTCCTCTACTCAACATGCCTCAATCTGTCAAACTCAGATTCACGCTAGCTTCATTAGCATCACCACGCTGCAGTGTTTACAGAGAAATCATCCTTACAAATAACACATAAACATAATTGTATTTTAATTATGCTCTCTGTCTGAAATAATCTCACGGGACGTCCTCAAACTGCATAATCTAAGGCTGATGTACCATAATGAAATCATAAATGCCCCTAAAGTCACGTTAGGTACGCTTGACTGATAAATGTAGCAGCGCTGACACTTTTGACTGACAGAGAGTGCTGCGGACATTTCAGAA